CCGCTAGAGTTCTGCGTCCGGTTGACTCGGCCACCAAGGGACACTCTTACGACAAGGCGACATCCGAATTCGGAGACCTCTCTCTCCTCGGTACACGGAGCAATCCGCAATTCCGAGAGCCGAGACGGTTGCTACCACCAGCACATCAGAGACTCGTTCCATAGCAGTACAGACTTCACCGCTCAGAGCCTGCTCAGAGAGCAGTTGTCAGACGGAAGACCACTTCCCGAACGGAGTTCCACCGACGCCGGGAAAGGGCTGCAACGAGCTAACTCAATTGAACCGTCCTTTTTAGGACCCGTTCAACACACTAAGACGCGGCCGGTAATTCCTTACCGCGCCCGTCAATTTTTCTTTTGATTCTCGGCCTTACACTCTTGCCGAGAAAGCGCCTCTGGCGCAATTAATCAAATCAAACAAAACTTGTACTTTTACTCTACTTCTCTGACGAGGAAAAATAAATTATATTTTTCTAAGAAATTGGTCTCAATATTTCAACCAAGTCGAACACAATCCATTAGGCTATACGCCTATAATATCTTTTCATATTTATTGTCCAGACTGTGAGATCTATCTTGGGAAAAAGGATGAGTTGAAAGAGAATAAGATGTGCACAAATTGTAGTGCTGATATGAATATTTCAAAGTCATCAAATTTCTTTATCTCAGTATCCTTAGAGTCTCAGCTTCAAAAATTGACAAAACACAATGATTTTATTCATGCTGTGATGAATCACAGATTCAATCGAAACAAAATTGAAGAAAATGCTTTGGAAGATCTTTACGATGGAGACGAATACAAGAAGCACTTTGAAAAAGGTTTATTGTCTTCACCATACAATTTTTCTTATTCTTTTTTTACTGACGGAATTCACACAGGTAAATCGAACAAGACACTTTGACCAATTTATCTCACTATAAATGAATTACCAATTTTAGAACGGAACAAGTATGTCTTACTTGCTGGCTTATACATAGGATCTAAAGATCCTAATCAAAACGTTTTTCTACAACCATTTATTAACGAAGCTAATAAACTTTCCACAGAAGGATTCAAATGGTTTCACAATGGTAAAGAAACTATTAGTAAAGTTATTCCACTTTGTTGCATTGCTGACTCAGTTGCAAGATATCAACTACTTAATTTTCAATCATTTGCTGCCTATTATGGTTGCACATTTTGTTACCAAAAATCGGAACGCACACGGAAAGGACAAAGATTTACAATTTCAATTCATTCTGCTGAGGAAAGAACTTTAGACTCTATAAAAAAAGATTTGCTTAAAGCATATCAGAGGAAAGATGAAACAAATAAAAGCAAAAGACAGTATAGAGGAGTAAAAGGTTTTTCATCGTTAATGTTATTAAATTTCTTCAACTTTACTGCTGGATTTGTAGTTGATTATATGCATAATATTCTACTTGGAGTTACCAAATTACACACTGAACTTATTTTACAATCTACTCGCAAAAAATTTTGGCATATCTCAGAAAATGTAGGAATGGATCATATACGGAGTACAATTGATGAACGACTTTTAATGATACATCCCCCTTCTTCAATAACAAGAACTCCTCGCTCCATTAAAGACATAAGTAAGTGGAAAGCATCTGAGTGGAGAGCATGGTTATTATTTTATTCTATGCCATGTTTGAAAGGTCTGCTGAAAAAGAAGCATATAAATCATTTTGCAATGTTATCTACAGCAACTAATATTTTACTTTAAAAATCAATAACACGTGAAGAAGTGTTTCAAGCTCATAAACTTTTTTTGTGCTATATGTATTTATTTCAAAAATATTTTGATAAAGAAAACATGGTGTACAACATTCATCTTCTATCACATATTTGCAAAGGTGTTCTCAACTGGGGCCCATTATGGACTCATAATTCCTTTCTGTACGAAGGTCAAAACCGGCATCTTATGCAATTATATCATAGTCCTTCGCATGTTATTTTACAAATAGCGCGTAAGTTTCTCATTTATACTTCAATACCCCATTTATGTTCAAAGCTTATTTTGTCACAAAAGACTATTGAATTTTCTGAGAAAATTTTAAAAAGAAATTTTATTTGCTTTATGCGTTGTAGAGAAGAAATTATACTTTTAGGAAAAGGCGAAAAATGTTTATTATCATCCGAGGAAGAGCAATTACTTGTGATAAACGGTATGTTAACTGAAAATTATCTAGTTTATCAGAAAATAATTTATAAGCGGATAAGATATACATGTAGTAAATATAATAACAATAAACTTAATAATGACTCATACATATTAATCAGCTCTAGAGAAAAGGTTGTAATTAGATCAATTTTGAGATTTCCAGTTGGTGTTAAACTAATTGTACAGCAGCTTAACGTATGTAAATCTATTATTAAAAATAAAAATATAAGAAATTTTCATATTCAAAAAATAGATAGCTATGGCCATTTAAAATACATCGACGTAAATCAAATAAAAAATCAGTGCATTTTTATAGATGTATCATGTGCTAACTATGTGTGTGAAATGCCATTCGGCTGTTACGGAGACTGAAAAGAATTCAGATAATCTTACTGTAATGTCTAAATAAACTTAATTTTTATTTTGTATTCATAAAATATTCTTCTGAATTTTTTTTTATTCTTTTAGGTAAAATTACATATAAATGACGTATATGTATAAGTTACATTATGTATAACTTATATATGTAAATAATAAAATAATTATTTTTAAAAAGTTATATGACTGAAATGACTAAAATTTTACTTATTTTTTACTGTCTGCTAAAACAACCTGTCAGATTGTCCGTAATATCGTTAACCAGAAAATTAAAAATTTGATCATATATTGGAGATGTGTGCTCAGGAGGTGTTTCCTTGTTATGTTATAAAAGTATTTGTAGCACATTGAAGACAACATTAATTATGAATTCCTCTGGATGCTTAGAAGTTGTTCGATTTGCATTTGCTGTTTTTAAACAGAGATCTCCATATAATGGAGATGTTTACTAATTGTTTACGAACAAAATGTTTACGACATGTTTGTCAGACTATTTTGATGCACGCTAAAATCTATGTTACGTGATTGTTTTTAAAGCGTTTCTTATAAAATGTTTAAGTGGCGTTTAATGACATAGTTTCAATCATTTCGATTATAGTTTTCTAAATGTTTGTAAAATGTTAGGGATTTGTGACGTGCTTCCAAACAATATCAACTATCAATAAAACTCTTCATAAACAGTGTAACCATCGATAAAACACTTCATAAACATAATTTCCTATTAACAATTTCCGCCAGGGGAGCGCAAGGTCGAGAAGTACCGATCGAATGATGATCTAGTGAGCCGCGTGGCGGAACATACAGGAGTGCCTCGCAATAATGTTTGTTTCACCGCCATTACAATCTCATGGCGAGGTGTCTGGAGCCCGGAGAGTGAGTGTGAGATGAGGCAGCTCGGTTTAACAACAACTCAGCTGCGGATTCTCACTACTCGTGTGCTGTGGGGCTTGTGGATGAACTGGCGCAGATTTAACGGTATTACGTCTCGTTATAGAGAATAAGCGGTAGCAGACCGCTAGTAGTGCCAATGAGCCTCTGTCACGTCTGTGCATGGACGCACTGTTCCACGTGCTGTAGCGTATGTGTGAATGAGAGAACCACATGTTGGTTCCGTATATATGAGGGCTATTTGCGACCGCCAACAGTAAACCGTAAGTCCCTTACAATATCATTGTGTGCTAGCCGTGCACCCGAATTATGGGAGCAATGGTAGGCGCACGATGAAACATAGCCAAATGCCTTGTCATCTAATTAGTGACGCGCATGAATGGATTAACGAGATTCCCACTGTCCCTATCTACTAATGACCGGGGGGGGGGGGGGCGAGACCAATCGTTTCGACACACGTCGGGCCGATTGGGATCGGTTCGCCGAGAGCCTGCGCGATCTATCCAGGTCACAGCTCGAGGTCCTTGGTCTGCAGTCTGCGGAGGAAGTAGAATTGATGGCGTAGGAACTTACGGTGGTGCTCCAAGAGGCCTGTAAGTCTTCTATGCCAAGAAAACGAAGGTTTAGAAAATCCAACCCATGGTGGAATAGAGAACTGACTGTCATCAAAAAGTCAGTATATAGGTTAAGACGTGCAACCCAGGTAAGGCGAGGGGTGCCCAATTACTTCACCCTTCGCCAGGAGTACCGCGTATCTTTGCGATATTACGGAAGGGAGGTGAGGAAGGCAAAGCTCGCAAGCTGGCCAAAATACGTCACGTGGCACGGCAACTCGGAGGCTTGGGGCTACGTTTATAAGCAACAAGCTGAAAAACTCCGGGTTGAGAGGGTGGTCAACACCTTCCGGCGAGGCGAATACTCTACCAACACCGTAGAAGAGACAGCCAGCTACCTTCTGGATGTCCACGTCCCAGATGACCAAGAGAATGAGGATACAGATAGTCAAAG